TGAATCCCTATTATTCACTACTTTATCCTGCCATTCTCGTTTCAGATCTCTGGCTCCTTCACCTTCAGCACCACCATGCAACCCGTCGGCCTCGCCTCCACCGCACCCGAAGCCGGAGCCGTTGCCGTCGTCACCGGCTGGGGCACCACCTCCGTAAGTGCAGCCCCACCAGTACAGTGCGCGTTCTTGACGCGGTGATCGGTGGGCTGACGGGAGTCTGTTTGCAGGAGGGAGGCACGGCTGCCAACACCCTGCAAGAAGTATCCGTGCCGATCGTGAGCAACTCCGCCTGCAACATTTACTACCTCGGGAGCATCACCTCCCGTATGCTGTGCGCCGGCTACACTGCGGGTGGGAAGGACGCCTGCCAGGGTGACTCTGGCGGCCCCCTGGTGTCTGGAGGCGTGCAGGTGGGCATCGTGTCCTGGGGAGCCGGCTGCGCCCGCCCCATCTTCCCCGGCGTCTACTCCAATGTTGCCAACCTCCGCTCCTGGATCAGCGCCAACACCGGTGTCTAAACGTATATTTCGTTCTGTTCCACTCAATGTTTTTCGAAGTATTGTTTTGCCTTTGTCCTAAATAATTCTCAATAAATAATTTTCTATCTTCTAATGAGTTATTTTATTTGATGTTCTTATTTATATGTTGTAATTTACTTAAAAAATGTTTCTGTTTGTTCGAATATTGCTTAGAAATAAATTTTTAAAAAAGTTTGTAGTACCTTCATGCTACGTCATTTTAATATTTCTTTGCAAATTGTGAATGTTTTATTACTATTAAGTGTTTAACTTCAAAAGTTATACTCATTGATCCTTTTTAATTGTTTTTCATGATAAAAGTTTCTTTCATAACTCGGAATACATGCTGGGATCATTGGTGCGATGACGACAGATATATCTCTTCCAAATTCCGAATGCTTGGTCTTGGCAAGCATGTTTCGGCTTTAGCAATCCCGAAAATTAGGCTTTTAGGCAGCATTCATAAAAAGATTTACCTTACGTATTAAAATTTTATATATAATATGTATGTATGTATACAAAATTGTGTACATTTTCTTGATAAACAATTATTAAAAGACTACACTCAACATCGACCTGTCACTTTTCCAATGTTCAATGATTAATCAAAAATGATTTAGAAGAAAACATATATATCAATGTTGCTATTTTTTATTTTTTGCAAAAGATAAAACGTACGATGTTCTTTTCTTTTTAGAATACTCAACTGGTCACTTTGCTTAATATTGATACCTTAATGACGCACTAACATTGATGCTGTAAGCAGATTCATTATAACCCTGGTGTTTTAATGAATTCATAATACTGTGCAAAAATGGCATAAATTCTTCATTATCACTTTCCTTTTTAAGAGAAAAGAAGAGAATTGTTTGAAGTAAACTAACAAAGTTAGGATACCCAGTGGATAATGTTAGAACTGTTACATAAACAGTAGTTTCACATATATTCTACATGCAATCTACAAGAGTTGTAGAGTTTTCAACGCGTAGACTACATACACAATGTAATCTATGTAGACGATTTTTTTGCATCAAAACCCCAATAAATTATCAATTGAATATCTAAGGAAAACAATTTGATTTTTACCTGATTCACTAGAATGTTTGGTATAACTCTTCGCAGTTCTTTCTGCATTTTGAAATTCCTGTCCGCAGAAGTATTGGGCAGATGACACATTACAATTTACATCCACCAAACTCCTCCACGTGAGAAAGAATACCTATGCCTACGAGTGCGTAGATTAAACAATGTACATTGTCTTTGTATTGTTTACATGTGCATGTAGTCTATTAACCAATGCACTTAGATGCACTTAGACATTCGATAACACTACTCAGTTAAAAATATTTAATGGTACAAAATAAAATAGCCTTTTAGGCCTCGTATTCAAAAATTTCAACGATGTAGAAGTTGATAAGAATATATTACTTTGTACATTTATAGTATTTCCAATTCTTTAAAGGGTATTATAAATGTGACACACTGACTCTTCAGTGAAGAAGTAGTTTCAAACCAAAAATACTATTTTATGTACTTGGTGTGAGGACGTCACGTATTATATCACCTCAATAATTGATTATAGTCATCGCTATAAAATGATGCAATCTGATTGACTCAGAATCCCGTAGCAAGTCCATTGCCAAAATAACAGATATTCGTAATAATTTGCCCCACACTATGAAATCGCATCAAAAAGATTTGTTGAACGATTGTAATTAAATCTATAAGATTATTCGTGTACAAAAGAAGACCCAGTTCGGGGAAAAGGGAGAAGTAATGGAATAATTTTATTGATTATATTAAAAGCATAATCTACCATTGTTTAAAATAGTGGGCAATTTGTGAATGTAGAGAAGACAGAAATAAGTCGCGCCAGTGTTTTGTAGTTATCCTCGTTAGTTCTCAAGAATGTCAGGGGACCTCTTTGGGTGAGGGGTGAGCTTGCTGGCCGCTGAACCCCAGTGCTGGATTCGATCCCACTCAAGACGCCCGGAGGTTCGAAAAGCGGAAAATCTACTGTAGCCATATCACACTCGTGGAATGTAAAAGAACCCTGGCAGTGCGCACGGCAAATTTAAATTCCTCCGACAAGATCCCGCCCTAATGATATCTCACTTTCTCCCAACGAGGCCGCTCGGATATACTTGTCTGAGACCGACATCTGGCGGAGAAAGGGAGAGTCAAATCCCAAACGCAATTAGGGAATCGCCCACGAGGTGCGCTTCTCGATAAAGGTCCCCAGACCCGCGTCGGGAGCTCGCTTCGAAGGAAGCCTGGGTCGAAAACCTCGGGGGCGGAACAACTGCCAATGGTCAGTCTCCCCGCAAATAGTCCCATACAATAAATAAATCCAGAAATTTCAAGAATGAGAATCAATAATGATGTGATCCCTTCTTTTAATAACTGCATCACATCAACAGCATTCGATACAATAGTGACCGCACTTGCAACATTTCCAGCGATAAATATGCTTCCAGTATAACTAGGTATCATTTGGTTAGGTTTGATAGAATTAGGTTAGGAAACAAAATGATCCCAAAAGGAAGTCCATGTAGTTCGGCGGGACGTTGTGAACGTAAACGAATGCCATGATTAACCGAATTTTTCTAATTAACAAAATTATAACGCACACTACATTGAATTTTATAATATTGTTTACTTCCTTTCTCATTCTAATGTAATCACGTTTCTGAAAACGTTTATTGACTGTCACAAATCAACAAGGAATGATATTGAAATAATTCAATAATATTGTATATAGTAATATGTAGTAGAATGTCCAAAAACCTGGTCTCATCAACCCGGACCAGTTTAAAAAAACAGCAACTCCTCTTCTCAGCAACTGGTCAACCGCAGAAGGGTGAGGGGGAAATGGGGTGGGGGAAAAGGGAGGGAAAAGTGGCTCTGGCGATGCCATGGACATTCTTAGGGTGGTGACCAACTAGTTTCTACTGATGAATGTTGTACACAGTGCATATTACAATGAGTCTTACATATACGTTTACGTACTAATTTTGTATCTTCAATTTCGGTTCGTGAAATATGGAAATGTGTATAATAAGCAGCTAAAAATACTGCAGCAGCAACAAAAATTACTGCTGAACAAAACACACAAAATAATTTTCCAAAAAAGTAGAACACACACTTCTCAAAGATAACAAATAAAAGTATCGTACTGCATTAATTAGAATATTTAAACACAAACATTCCCGGCCAGTACTGCAATAAAGTAGTACAGTTTTATCACACTACCATACATAATACTCCCCCCGAAAAAAGTGTTCAATAGTACAACACGTGAAGAGGAAATACATATCGGCGGCGCCTCTTCCTTGGTGCCTTGCTGCCACACGACGCCAGTTGTGTCCTAACAGTGAGGCAATGAATATTGAATTCACACTGCAGGCAGAGAATTGGCGAAATAACGCAATTAAATATTTGCATTTATTTCTCGGAGACTATTTCATTGTTTATGATTTCTTTCCAAGTTCCTGGATGTCTAAAAGAAACCATAGGCACACGTCATATGGCCGGTGGGTGCACAGTTTTCTTTTAATATCTGTACGCGATGTAAAATCTCTTATGTACATACTACAATACATAATGGAATGGCAATTATTGCATGTGTCGCTGGTTATGAAATGCGGCGGTTAAATAATATACTAATTGAAAAGACTAATGGAATACTGATACTAATTGAAACACTGTGAATTATGAACAGTGATTTTCTTGCGATGCTTCATATTATTTCCAATTTGTCCTGTAAGGTATTAATAGCATCCCAAAATGACGACAGTACTGAAACATCGATCGTCATTGTGAAGCTCTGCATCCTTAACTCTCCAATGGGCACGTGGGGTCTTTTGTGACCCCACAGCTATTTTCTGTCTTGTAGTGATTAAAGTATATGCACGTACGTCATCAGCGTTTCGAAAATATCTTTTTGTGGATTTTATACAACATGCATGCATAACAACTTAAGTTAGTTTTTCCCCGTTTCATACATTTTCCACAAACATCAAACTCTTAGGATGACTCTTAGGTTAGGCACTTCGTTGTTGCGTTCAGTGTAGTATAACAATATGAAATTGAGTGTTATGTTGATAAATATTTTCATTGTATTTTAGTGGGACTGTGCAACGTTATCGTAGTGTCTTATTTCCAGTCACTGCGCGTTGGTTCTTTATTGCTGTAAACTTGAAATATAATTCACGCATTTTTGACCTTGTGCATCTTAATTTCCTGTTTTCGTGCGTCTTTCGTTTACATCTGTCGTGTAACGTGACTATTTCCTTAGTAAGAAAATATTTTTTGAAGAATTAGATACAAAAAAATGTTGGATTTCAAACACATTGATGAAATGCGAGTTTCTACAAATGAATGATTTCGACTTTTACAACACATATTGATCGAGATAAGGTAATGAAGAACGTTGGACTATTTCTCATTGTAGTGATGATAAATATTTGCCACCTAAAAGAGATGACGAAAGTGAACCCCACGTGGAAGGTGATAATCATGAAGATTCCTGCATCGATGACGTAGAAGGCAGCGAATACTGCGAAATTCCTCTTCACATTAATCTCCTTCGAGGAACATTATTAGAGTTAAACTTGGACCAAACGTTGAACGAGTCCATCAGGAATGGAATGAAGCTGATCTTACTGCAGCACCTAAACTGTGGAAGGAAGTGGATGAAACAGAATTAGAGACTTTGATTGGCAGAACACCGATCTGAACGTGAGTGTTTATGAGAATTGTGGAATGTAAAACAAGGTAGACTAGTTGTTCGGGCAACTATGAGTCAATAAATTTCAAGGAATCACTAGTTTTTAACAATCTGAAAATAAATTAGACCCCGACTCAGAGATATCTAGGAAATGAGTATTCAGAGACTGACCAATATGTACTTCACGCTAGAATATAACAGACGACTATTATCTAGTATGATACAGAGGCAGTGTCCTCCAGAATATGAAAACCAAACCTAAGAAGTACAGAATTAATATTTGGTGAGCTTGTAACCCTGCTCATTCCTTCCCATCGCATGGCTATTGGAAAGCAAACTAATCAACAAAGAGATGTAAACCAGAGTAATCAAGTGTTAAAGAACTTACCGTAAAATAGTTGAAAAAGTAATAAACTAATTTATCAATAAATGTATTAATATTTTCATTTCAATTATTATTTGCGAATAAATTTCTTCCCTTAATAGCATTAGACTCCTTTAGAGCCCTAAGATCCCATCCGAGGTACTTTTCTAAAGTGTGCAGAGAAAGGTTATGGCTTAATGCTCCAAAAAATACTTGTAGGAAAATTCAATAGATCGCAGCACTATCACAGGGGAATTTACTTTACTGATAACGTCTGAACCAATGGTCCGATTTTCGATTTGTAAACGGCATTTGACGCCTTTTTAAAATAGAATTTACGCTACGGTGACCATTTTCAAAAACTCTAACAAAAACGCGCATTTGAAATTAGTTCTCAGACTTCCGAGAACAAATTTAAAAAATGTGGCCTTATAGCGCGATGGCGACATGATTCCTGAATCCAACGCCGTGGCAATCATGCAAATCGGACGAATAGGAGTGTCGTAAAGTGCAATTGACGAATACCCCTCACCCCCCCCACTTCCCCTTCTGCGCCGTTGCGTCACCCACCCGCCCATTGTGGGTCCTCTGTCAGCGCGGTGGCACGGCCAGGCCCGGCGTCGTGCGGCCAGTCTCGACGGACGGACGGAGGAGGCGGTGCTTGCGGGACACGCAAGCCACACACTCGGTTTATGCGTTCGTCACTTTGCTTCTCAATCTATTTTTCCACGGATATCAAACTAGAGATTCTATACTACTATTACTGGCTGAGGTAAACGGTCTGTAATAGTAGTACATAACTACTTTTTTCACATATTTCCGTCTTCCTTCGAATAGGAATGCGGAAAGGAATGCGCTCAATATTCTTGAAAGCTGTCCCCCGCCTAATCTGCAACTACTACGGCTACGGCATTGCTGCCTTATCGATCACGGCCAACCGGAGGACCAAACACCCCATTAGTCGGATTTTT